CCTACGTCCGATCAATTAGAACTTGGCTATAGCGATGAGACTGGCCCGCGTGGGTTACCCCGATCGCACGTTCTGTCGCTTCTGCCCGTTTCCTCGCGCTCCTCGACCACGGGTGAGTCCTGCGCACGGGGCAGGGATATGTCTTGTGTGCACAAAATATCCGACCTGGCCTCTGCGGTAAATCGGAGAATGTTGGTTCCCTTTTTCATTGCCGAAACCTGTTGGATTTAGCTAGATCAAGTGTAACAGGTGTTGGGGCCATCTCGTTGTTCTCCGGTTTTAGAAGGTCGTCTGTGGCTGGCCCCTCTCATTGTTTGTGGCGTGCTGGCGGTCACGCCGCTTGCTGCGACAGGCGATGGCGCTAGTAAATATTCCCTTGATTTAATGTTTCTACTTAAGTGGATGGGTGGGTTCTGACGAGGTTCTTGACTGGATGAGGCTTTATGTGTCTTTGCCAGCTCGAGGTGCAAGGAGATCTGAGTTATCGCGCTCTATTCGACGTGGGCTGTTAGCTTCCCAAGGGCGTTCATGAATGTCTCCATAGGAGCCTCTTCCTGACAAAGGAAGGGGTTTCGGGGGTGATGGGGTGTCCGGAGGGGTTCCAGCGACATTTCGCTCCACCCTCGCTCTGGTTGCGTCACTGGTTTGTATCGTTCTGGTGCCATATGTGCGATGAGTATACCCGCCGACACACCTCTTGTTTTGTTTGATACGGCACGAAAAGAGCTTCTACGTCAAGTTGGCCCATCAGCACATTGCACGCACTGCCGTTTCCTGGCACTATTGGGTACGTCATGGCCAGCTGTAGCCTGTACAAAATGTATGAGGCATTATGTGCTGTGCTTTTGACTGTTCCCCAACATTCCATTGCTTTGCCCATCAAGCAACCCTCTTGCCGAACTTCCACCGCGCAAATAGCGGCATAAGCGCATTGGATATGCCTCTTGAATTATCAATCCACGCGTCAACGACATGTCAAACACCCACCAGCGGACATAACTGTCGCTCTGACGTGTTTGGACGGACGCGCTCGCGTCACGCCGACGGCGGGTCGGCACCGATCGCTTCCGCCGTCAGTTTTCGAGGCGCTGATTGCGCGAGCGCCTCGCGCTGAGGTGTCCGCCGGCAGTATTTCCCGGGCTGGACTCGTCATGGCCCGAAAGCGTTGGCCGGCCTCAGTTCGGCTCGCCATCTGCGCCGCTCACACCCAGCGTCAACAGGGGCCTCAAAGACGTTTTGTCTCGTTCCCGAGCTGCGGGTTGATATGTATTATCGGAATGATATTCGCGGCCGACAGCAGTCATGCTTTTGCCACTTTGTGCCAGGCTTGAGGCCGGCACCGGGGCTGAGGACCATACTGTCCATGCCGTCTAGAGTGGATGATCGCACAACTGTTGTATTCGACCGAAAAATATATATATATATATATATATATATATATATATATATATATTATATATCAAACAGGTGCAACCCATAACAGCTCATCAGCAGACAAAGAAAAAAGTGCGAGTTAAGATGGAGGAAAACACCCATACTCTGCAACCCAGTTATCTCCCAAATTATCCGAGTGCGCATTCAGTCCACCAGACAAATACGCGGTACCCAGAAGCTTCGTCCAACGCATCTTCCCTGAGTTCATACACTGGGCTTTCCCTTGCTACTCCCCGCAGGGTAATTGGCTTGATCCCATCCCCTTTGCTTGCTGGACGAAAGTACGGCATTTTTTTGTTACAAATTTCTCACTTTAAGAAAAAGTAACGGTATTTTGGGATACGGCAGCAGCTTTGCATGGTGATTAATTATGCCTGGAGCATCTTTAAACTGACAACATAAAAACGAAAAAGTGATCTTCTGCAGATAAAATGCGCCTGCCATCGACACGCGCCCGGGTGGCCGGTTGGACATCCTTCGTTCGGGTGGAGGGTCAATCTGACACTTGTGATATCAGGAACTGAGGCGGCTAAAGATACCAAATTCGCAGGGTGTATTGACCTGTACGTGAACTCATTTAGGTCAAAGTTTGAGGTTCCTAGGTTGGGTCAACTAAGGTCAAACAAGGTCAATTTCCAGGTCAATCTCCAAGGGTCCATAAAATCTAATAACTGTTCGAAGCAAAGGTCACGTGCTCATTTAAGGTAAGTGACCCTTGCTTCACCTTTTCGAGGTCATTGTGACCAAAAATACAAAACTGCTCTGAGCCTTGCATCTGAATAAGCCGTAAGGATTACGCTAGACAGTATGTCCCTGAAAACAAAATGTTGACCTGCGTCATTTTGGGTCAGTGACCTATTCTGAGCTTCAAGAAGTTCATGTAAGGTGTACAATGCGGTTTCCGTTATCAATGATTCGAAGTGAGCATCAAACTACCCTATACAGCAACCCATAGAGTAATAAAACAGGTAGGTTTGGCCTTGATCCGACCTTCATTCCTGACCCCAGGTCAATATAATTTGTTCATTCAATTGTCGTGTTGCCCAAGAAGGTATTTCAGAAATGTATGGTTTCGACTAGCATTCCACTGTTGAATCAGATTGCACGATTCCTCAGAAATTGCCTTCGCTGAAACCACGGCGTGACTTTGACCAACCATAGGTAAGCGATCTTACAAAGTTTTGATGCCAGACGATCCGCTATTCAATTGTCTACAGTTATGCAAAAGTTGGGCGCGGCTGCGGCGCGCCGTTTGAAGCCAATTGCAGAAAAACCTACGGGGGGGGGGGGGACAATTTGATCCCTCGCCCGAGCAGCTTGTTAAATTAACCGTAAGTGGTCGCACGACAATACACAGTGGCTGGTCCTGGAAAATGGGATCGGTGGAAACTTTTGTAGGGGTCAGAGAAACATAAATTTACCTTACCCTCACCTTATGGCGATCGGGAATTGTAAAAGGCCACTAGAGCCTGTAGGTCCCGGTCTCGTCAGGCTCCCGGTCCGGTAACCAAACAGTCTCAAATTATGGGAAGATTCAGTGTGGGGTGTCTTACATGATGTCAGCGCAGTGCCGTATCAAGGCCTAGACTTGAACTGTTTCAACTGAGGTCGACGACACGACCGGGTGTGGAAGAGCAGTTCCAGTCGTTGACAACCCGCGTGCTGAATGAGTTACGACGGATGAGAGTCCTAGCTCGAGGTTTTCTGAGCTTCCAGACAAATACACAGTGACTGGTCATGGAAAATGAGGCAGTGGAACTTTTTGTAGGGGTCAGAGAAAGATAAATTTACCCTGGTTTTCCATGCCGTTTCGCTAAGTTCGAGGTCCGCACATCTACAAAGCTTTTTAACTTTCATGCCTGCCGGCCCCTGGTCCTCTTGGCTTTCGACTTTAACTTCATTTAGTTAATGCGTGTCGACTTTTAGTTGTTGGACTTTCCGTCATATGACTTCACTTCCCAAGACGCATAAATTCATGAAAAGGAATTGTCCTTTGTAACTCGTCTGTGATTTGGGAGAACTCTCCCCCTATGCCTATTTATTCACCAGGAAAATTTCATTGCAGTGTAGGATCTATGTTCCCTTGTTTGATTTGCAACGTCCCATGTGCGAATGGCTATGAATGTTTCCCGCCATTTGTTCAGTGGTGACCGTTGAGCAAGAAACTAACAAACAAAAATAGACCTTATAACGGCCAATAGAAGGGAAATGGTGTTGTCGCAACCCAAACACCTACTGAAGGCGACGGCATCTTGCTCCGTGCCATCCTCAGTTGTGGTTACCACCGCATACCGATTGTGCGTCACCATGGGTATATTCCACCACAGACGAAACGACGTACACGCGTACACAACCAAATGATTCGAATCACTTTCTATTCAAACTAAGCTCGCAAGCAGCAAAAAAAATCGCACCTGCTTGAAAAAGCGCCACGTTGCTGAAAAAACGAGACACTGCTGCAGATTACGCCGAACTTTTGCGACTATCGCGGCGTTTGGGTCGTCTGCAGACATGCTGTCGGATATCTACCGCCCAACATCGCGCTGGCTGCCAAACGTCAGCTCACACCGGTGACCTTGACATGGTGGCCGGTGGCAGCGCTCCGAAATCAGCTGAACCGACCGAGCCTCACTTGCAGCTCCTGTGGAGGCAGGCGGACATTAGTTTCAGCGACTGGGCCCGCGAGAGGTGTCGTCAGTTTTGGTGTTGGCGACAATGCCCCCTTCCCCCTAGGTTCTATGAAGCGCTAAGAAGTGGTCCATTTTTTCGTGGCGCCTGAAGGCCCAGGTGTCTACAAGCCTCTAATGTCACCTTGCTGATTTTTGTTTCCATGTGAATGCCACTGCGCTTTGAGAAGCGTCACCACATTTGGAAGACAACTGCGGATTGAGGGAAATTTAGGAAAAGTGTGCCAGTTAAGGGGAATGTGTTTCTGTACTTCAAGAGTCATTGTTCGTGGTAGCCAATGAATGTTTCTTGCTTTACGTTTGGAAGAAAACGTTTTTTTAGTAAGCCGGCACCGACAAACGCGACGAGCCTTGCTTGAATTCACTGATGATCACCGATTAACGAGGCGTAAGTAGATCCCTTTTCATTGGTGCGGGGCACACGATAGTTGATGATCATGAGATTTATTCGATGAAAGGACATTTAAAAATGGAGCCTTTTAGGATTAGTGGGCTTCCCCATCGCCGGCACCATACTAGCATTGACAGCTCTGGCAATGCCAGACCGCTGATTTACTCTAAATTGGAAAGGTTCTCCAAATAGGAGAGTGACGTTGAAAGAACCTTTGTGCTGGATGCCACTGGAGTGTCCAGCCTGCATGCTTGGACATTCAGTTTAGGATATTAACTCTTGGTACATTGCCTGTTTTTAATTATCCCGGATCTGTCAATCGAATAGAAGTAAATTTATTTAATTGCAATCACGGTGTGCCGGCAATTAGCGCCCCTTCTTGGATCAGATGTAATGATTTCCTTCTCTTGCCTCACAAACGTTGTTATGGCAGTACCCCTAAACTAATAAGTCAAATACTTTGATCAGGCACTGCGTGACATCACACAGACTTCGAGCCACCGAGGACAGCATGACTTACGGCATGAAGTTGCACTCGTGAGCCGCGTCGTCGAAGCCCAGATCTTCGGGACAGATGAAGTGGAACGGATAGTACTCGTTGCACTCATAGAAGCCGTGACAGTTTTCCGGGTCGGGGTAGAGGCCGTATTCGCCGGGGCATTTGAACTCCATTGGCATGGTGTCGCCCAGTTCAGCACCTGTTGGGCGAGAGGCCAGGTGAACGATGTCTCCCAAAGGTGTAGTTTCCATTCAGTTGGGCGGCGTTCCAGCCCTCTTCCGGCAATTTAAAGGGAAAGTAGAGAAAACTCGGGCAGAAATGTGTTTTTTTGCTTGTTTTTGGGTTGATTTAGTCATATCTTCCTCTTTGTACCACAATTTTTTTTCTTCAAACCTTCACCTCTGCTGTGACTACCATCTGATCAGGCACCGCACTCTGGATGTCCAATGCTTACATGCACAGGATAAGTCGATTCTGGCGTGGTTTACGATCAGCGTGGATTCCATATCCAGTCTGGGATCGGAGGAGGAGCAGGTCTCCCATGTTAGCCCGCAACACGGGAGATGTGGGCTGTCGTTAGGGCATCAGGACATTTTGTTCACGTGCAAAATGTTTTTTTACTGTGTTTCCCACAATTGCTCTGGTGTTACTGTAACAGAGACTGTTGGTAGCCTCCAGGAAGGATTGACACCGTCGTACAACTGTGACCTTTTTCAACCTTACAACCTTCTGCTACTGTTTTGATGAGGGCATGCTGTCGAAATATAAACCCGTCTATGTCTCCGCTCTCCTGGTTTTTCTCCGAGGAATAAGGCTGTTACTGTTGTCTTATCTTCTGGTTACTGAGCTTTACTCCCGCGAAATTATGCGGTCTATTTCGTGCAGGCTATTTTAAAGTCATCCAGGCACGCACAAGACCACAAAAAATCACACGTATGCTGCCACCCAATTGGCCATGGAGCGCTTAAAAAGAATGTTCCACATTTGTATGGCGTTTTGAACTGAAATAGCCATCTTGAGGACATTTTGATGCGGTTCACTGATATGCCTTTTTAAGACCCAAAACGCTCTGGTTCCTGAGCTACACGCCCGCGGACTAGGAACAGACTTATTTACAGCCAACTTCAAAATTGCCTTCTGGTTAATGACGCCATAGAAACGTCATTAGATTCCCGTGATACTACAGGCTGTTTTTTGTGGTCAAAACAGCATGGCCACTACGACATTCCCAAGGTTGATGATGTTGCACATGTGGTACAGTCCGCGGAAGACGATTGGCTGTTTGTAAGATTTTACTGCTGAATGCGTGTCGCGAACACAAGCGTGAGCATTTTCGGGTTGTGCGACACTCGTCGTGAACGGGTCATTTTTCCTGATTTCTGTGCCACGGGTCAATGTTATAAAAAAGAACGTCACTGTCTGCAAAAAAGTACGGCATCCAAAAACGGGCACTTTTCCGAAGTTATGAAAGAGAAGACGCGACGGCAAATCTGTCTTTTTTCTCCTGCTGGCTTTTTTTCTTCTACTAACGTATGCCTTACAGACAGCCCGGTTGGCGCCTTGTGTACCGGAGCACAGAACCTTGCACGTGTGTATGGGCTAGCGAGGTATTATGAAATTAGGGAAACATTACAGTAATTTAGATATATAGTTCTCTAAGTATTTCACACATATAGTACGACAAATTTAAATCTTGAACAAAAAAAAGTGTTTTACAAGAAGAACCTCTTGAGCCGCATTACCATGAACCACCGTTGGGACTTTATTTCGAGGAGAGGTCACGGTTAAGTCCGTTGTTGTGACTGAAAATCTGTGCGGAATTGTGAGAAAACCTGCAAATTAATAATCCCGCGAACTATGCAAATGTGAGATAACGCTTATGTGACAAAAGAGTGTGAATCGGGGGCTCGAAATGCATGTGATCACTGGTGGTGTGTGCCAGTGGCTTGTATTGGTATAGATGTGATGGGGGAGTGTGCGTGCGAGGTTTGTTCTTCTGAGAGAAAACATTGGTTTCGTTTTCTTCGGTCTACTGATTTCCAATAAAATGTGATATATTGATGCCTGATATATTGTTGCCTATTGATATTGATGCCTGCCTCTACCTTTATGTTTGTGTTTGAACATGACAAAGGAATGCTGGCAAACTGAGAGAAATACTAGCACTTATGTTGCAGGGATGTACAAAGGCAAGTACTGGTACTGGTGCTTCGTTATGATCTTGCCAACATTGTGAACCTATTGAGGTATTACAGCATGCAATTCATCCATTGCATGCCATTATATCAGCAATTCATTTTGGCAGTAGGGGCTGGTGTGTGCAGCTCATTAATAGACACATTCAGTATAGGTTTACATTACATGGCTTTGCAAAATTGTCTTTTCCTAAGGAGTTCTGAAAATACAGAGCTGTATTATTATTAATGCACATTGAACTGTCTTCACAAATCTTGTGTGCAGGCGAGCATTGCTCCTGAGTAATCAATGTCATAGTCACTGCAACTTGCGTGGGATGCTGGGTGCTGAGAAATGTGGAAGAGTATTGCTGTTGGTGTCTTGAACAACATTAAAGAATATGTTTAATAATATGTTGGATAGTATGTAAAATAATTCAACGAACGCCTCCGTGTGCCGGGTTGGCGGGATGAAAGGCTGCATCCCGAATTGGAACTTTAAGTTGACGTACGATTCGACAGAACCGCAATTCCCTCGGCTGTTTTTAGGGTTGTTGATAAGTTCAGCGCCAAGTGAAGTCAGATCGCCTCCTCTATAGTAACATTTTGAACATATTTCCAGCACATATTCCCCGCCTGGTACCAGGCGCTCGCTGTCCGCAGCTGCGAGCTCGAGCAAGTAGGCTTAGGGAAATGTGTGATGAAGAGTATCTAGTCTCGTGTCAAACAACACTCAAGCAAAACAGATCAGCGTCCTCTTGCAAACGATCCCAGCGCCGTGTTCATTCCTGACCTGTGCCGTGCGGAGAGTTGCCGCCTAACCTGTACCAGCGCCGTGCGGAGGCCCTGTATCTCAACTGGCGTTAAACGCACTACTTTGCATTTTCTGTTTGCGCAATGCTTCGGAACGGCCACTTGCTTGCCATGTTCGAGCAAGCTATGTGCAGCACCATATACGCCCACCCGCGCACGTACCTTCTGCAAGAACGACGGCCGCTAGGGCGCAGAGCACGGTCAGTAGCCTTCCGATCATGGTCCCGTCTGTGTCTGTCACGCGGAGGCGCTGTGCTGGAGACGCCTGTGTGCCTGCCTGTCTCCGCCTGGTACCCTCTACCTGTCTCTGGTCCCGTATGAATGGGAACGGCGTAAGCTCAACACCCTTAATATCGCCGCCGCCGCCGCTTATCGCCGCGCTGGTTGAGATAGCCGGCTTTCCGGTCCGCCCTTACTCGTTGAGACGCCATGAAGCGCTCCGTCAGTAACCTGCCAGATTGGGTGCTGTCACGGGTGACCGAGAATTGTGTAACTGGCCATTTCACGTGCAGCGTTCCCCACGTGTTGCTTCATCTCGCGCCACCTGTAAGCTCTACTGGAATAGGTCAAGCCCGTAGGGGCACACCGGCTTCGGCCGGTGTGGGAAAGTAACGCGCTCAGGTCCCCCAGCTCCGGCAACGAGTGGACAGCGCAAGCCGCTCATTTCAGAACCCCGCCGGTAACTGAGTTCCTTCTGCTTATCCCGCCCGCTCCGTTCTCATCACACGCAAGCCCGCATCCCGCCCTCCCACCACTTCTCGTTCACGCTACATCGAGGTCGCCGCGCCCCCCAGGCCAAAGTGTAGAATGAGGCTAAACGGGAGAGAGGGGGTGGGGGAGGGCCGGGCTGGACGGAGGGAAAGAAGCTTGTCAATCACTAAGACTTCATTTACGATAGAACAATCTGCGGTTTGCTCCATGCGTCACCGGTTGGTTTTTGCGCCCGCTCTCTCCATCGGGTTTCGGCCACGTCTGCAAGGGCAGATTGAGCTGAACCTCAGGTGAAGTCTGTATCTTCGTTGCCATGCTTTATGTTACGACTGTAAAACCGTATGTTTTGGCTCAGCATGGGCCCGCGTGCCGAGCTTAACAATGCCTTAGCGTACAAATCATCCGTGAAATGCTAGCTGACACCAAAAAAGTTTCAATACGTCTTCAGGGCGGATTCGTGGAGGGGATGTCAACCATGCTATGTTCCCCGTCAAGACGGTGAAAGGCTGTGAAAAATGGCAGTGTCGAACTTTTAAGTACATATATATTATATATATATATATATATATATGTATGGTGTAAAAGTTGCATATATATGCACGCATATATGCATATATATATATATATATATATATATATATATATATATATATATATATATATATATCTATCTATCTATCTATATAACAATATATATATATATATATATATATTGTTATGTGGATATAACTATCACTGAGGAAAGGTTAGCGCAGTTCCTCGTTGAAGTTAATGCGTGTTAGAAAATGTTCTTGCGCGTGCACGCCGGCAGCGGCGCGACATGGATCTGACGGGAGTGGCCGGAGTGGAATTGTGAGGTTGTCTTTATACTCCTCACCCCATGCGCTGTTTTCGATGCATTCGATTAAGCCACACAAAATACTACTGTAGCAACACTATCCTGTGGAAAATGTGGTGACACTGATCACACATGCGAGAGTTACGCCGCTCTGGTCCCGACATGTTTAAACTGCTGGCAGAAACGAGATCCATACAGGGCTGTTAACCCTACTTCTTCGGTTAACTCTTGGAACAAAGGCATTATTTCTAGTGAGTGGTCCCGGCGCGTCTTACCGAGGGGCCCGAAAGATCTATAGCACCCCGCATCCGGAAATGTCTTGCGCAAGTGCGGTGGCTCAGTGCCACCCAAGGCTGTTCATCGCGAAAGCAGCTCGGACCGGATACACCTGACGTAGAGGCGTCACTTATCGTACTGTTCCATTCATCGGGAGAACGGCTCGGACCGGATACACCTGACGTAGAGGCGTCACTTATCGTACTGCTCCATTCATCGACAGAACGGCTCGGACCAGATACACCTGACGTAGAGGCGTCAGTTATCGTACTGTTCCATTCATCGGGAGAACGGCTCGGACTGGATGCACCTGACGTAGAGGCACCAGTTATCGTACTGTTCCATTCATCGGCAGAACGGCTCGGACCGGATGCACCTAGCGCCGTGTATCGCACTGCTCCGGTCATGCGGGTTGACTTGCAGACCGGCGGCAGGTCTGGGCGCGGCGTCAGCGTTTGTGGCATCTGTCGCAGTGCCGGTGGCTGTGACGCCGGCGGTCCCCGCGCCGACCGCCGCACCGACCGCGCCGACCGCCGCCGTCCCCCCCCCCCCCCCTCTCGGCCAGAGAGACGCCATAGGGTGAGCAGGGCAAGGATAAGGGGTGAACTCTGGTCCGTCATCATGAGGGCCGCCCCTCCCGAGTAAACAAAACTAGCGTTCGGGAAGAGGCGCCAATTACGGCCTTTCCCAACAACGACGAGCCGAATTTCTCCCGACGAGGCAGTGATGGAGACATCGCGGCACGGCGAGAGAGTCAGGCGGACGCGCTGGGTCGAGCGGGCGAGGACGGCCAGGCAGTCACTGGGGGCTGCCAAACTGCCGACCCCGCGTGGACCGACGAGGCACCACCTCCCTCGGGGACTCTCGAGACGTCGGCCCCTGCGGAGGTTGGCGGGACGTCCTCCTCCAGGGGGCTGGTGCGGCGCCGGTCGGGAGCGAACGCATCCGCTTCTGGGAGGAGCGTTAAGCCCCCTCCTCGCGGTGCCTCCTCAGTGGGGAGAGGCGCACGGTTTGCCGTGGATGGGCTCGCCCACTGAAGAAGGAAGTCGGCGATCGGGGCTAAACTTTCAGCCTGGTTCGGAATGACGTGGCTCGAGCTCTGCAGACGGGAGGCTGCGCCGAAGTGGATGTGTGGACCCCGCGTGCACTTAAGGGAGTTGGGCCCCGCCTCTGCTGCAGCGGAACACTTTATCCATCCTGGTCATAACTATATTCTTTTAAAGAATGCCTTTCTACCATTTATGCACAGCCAATGCTCTCTTAACCTTATGGTTTTAATCCACATCTTTAAACCAGCTTGCATACAGTCCAGTTTATGTTGGGATCGTGTATATATATATATATATATATATATATATATATATATATATATATATATATATACGATTCCACTATGTGGGCTAGCGGGGGCCATATAGTGGAATCGTATATTCCACTATATGGGCCCCACGAACATCTCGAGGAAGTTTAGGTACATGTTATATATATATATATATATGTATTTACATATATATATATATATATATATATATATATATATATACGATTCCACTATGTGGGCTAGCGGGGCCCATATAGTGGAATCGTATATTCCACTATATGGGCCCCGCGAACATCTCGAGGAAGCTTAGGTACATATTATGTATATATATTTATTTATCTTTGAAAATGGAATTATATGGACTCACGAACCAGTGTCCAGGATGTATACGCTGCGTGTAGGTTGACGTTGTCCGGTTGATGTATCTCTCCAGGGGAGGAAACTTACACCGGACCCACACCACATCATTAAAGGCTGTCTGGTATTTACATAGGATGTGCCGACAGACACCGTGGCACACGGTGATGCAGTGGTAGTGGTATATTGCAGCGTACCTGCGCAGCACCCAAGGCCACGAACCTCGCTCCAAGCTCTTGCTGTACATATTCCTTTAAGCCTTTGTCGTCTAACCTTGTAATTATCCGTGTATTTGCTACCCGGAATCATTTTCCATCGGTGGAACTTCCTCCTTGGTTGGCACTCTTGGAATATTGAGATATTTTGACTCGCACCATGCCATATGATTGTGTGATGATAGCAACTCACGGGACTAAAAGAAATATGTTTGCAAGGAGTCCCTATGTGCTAAATGTGGGTAAACGGACGAATCTCATTTAACCTTCAGCTCAGACGCTCGTTTTGACCTTAACCGAGCGAGCCGTCTGCTCGCGCTGCTCGCGAACACTGTAGCCGAAGACCCCATGGAAACGATCATTTCCCAGGGTGGCTGGAGTTCGACGTTCGCGGCGAGTTGTGGCTGCAGCCCGCGACGGGCCGGTTCCCGGTCCTTGAGCGCGACCGGGAATTCTGAGCGCCTGTAATATAAAATTTGCTGCCGATTCCGCGGTTGGTACTGACGACTCGGTCAAGCACTTAATGCCCGTGGCTTACGTATTGGAAACGCGATCATTCCTAAGACATCTGCAGCTTAACGTCGCACCCCGATCTCGTGGGGAACGGGCGAGTGCCAAGATGCCATCCGGGCATGTAGGTGGGGCTCCCAGGCTTTCGACCGTCACGCCACCACCAACAATCGTATAGCATTTAGCCAGCCCGGGGCATTGGCTCGGGGCAGTATCCAGAAATTCAAAGCGCGTCTCCTGACAGGAGTACGTCGGGCGTTTAATCGTTTGATTCCTATGTCGCAAGCATGGCTACAGATGAAACAGAGCTCAGACCAGTATTCCGCGGTCCCCTACGGGCTCTCGAGGTCGGTGGGGCAGGACATTTTACACCCTGCTGACCTGGCCAACGAGAGAAGCCGTGCGCTGGCAGACCGGTGTGGAGCTGGCAATATTGATCCCCATTCTCGCGCCATGAGACTCGTCGTGAGGCCAGTTCTGGCAGTTTTGTCTGCTCCACCTCCGTGCAGCTGGCCTATGGCCAACCATTTCCGACGGCTCAGTTGAGGTCAGCTGTAAGACGTCTTCGGGGTGTTTCAGAGGGTACCGAAGAAATATACAACAGCATAATCCAACATTTTCCACATCTGTGAACTTGACGTGCTTTTGGAGATTTTCCGTTGCTATTGGGATATAGGCGAGTTTTCAGTTGCTTGGCGAGAATCTGTCGTGGTGCCTCTTTTAAAACCGGTGAAGAGCGGCAAAGACCCGTTTTACCGCAGGGCCATGTCTCACATCTTAACTTTGCGAGCTTGTGGAAAGGGTCGTTAACGATCGTCTTCCGTCTTTGTTTTTTAAGAGGAAGTACATTTGTACTCAATCGTAGGGTGGTTTTAGGAAACACCGTAGCGTGCTGAACCATCTTGTAATTCTGGATCCAGTTGTTCGTGCATTTCAACAGCGTTGTCATGTGGGAGCAGTCTCCTTTGACATCAAAGGCTCTCACGACATCGCATGGCATTATGATATTCTCTGGAAAGCTTTTAAAAACGACATCCGCGTTGATAAGACCGTTTTTTGCATAATTTTTTAGCAGAGCGTTTTTTTTCGCATGCGTGGTGGCTACCGCTTTTCTGAACATTTTCAGCCTTTAAAGCCTTCTAGTACGCTTCCAACCCAAAACCTTTACCCTCTGGGGAAGACATCGGGAGTGTAGGAGAGTGGGATAGAAACATTGGATGTTCCCTGGGCATGCCGCTGTTGACGTAGCGCATGTGTTGAACATCACATTTTTACCAATGGCTGACTCCCATCGTGCCTGTCCTTTGGCCCATAAATCAACCCACTGAATGAATTATCATTGCGCGGGTAATGACGTGAGTGCATTGGTTATGTCCATTCGTTTATCAGCACACACATCGATAACCCCGGCAAACAACCGCTTCCAAGCCGTGAATGTCCCGCCGACGAGTTTGCACAGCGGGCGTTTGCGCAATGCAAAGTTCACGAGTCCACGGCAGCCACATCCGCCGTCAGCCGTCGGCTCGCGATGGTGTCGCAGGCGGCGGGCATTCCCCTGGACTGGGCTCGTCATGACGCGAGAGCGGTGGCCGGCCCGACTCCGGTCCGGCACCTGCACCGCTCACACCCAGCGTCAACAGAGGCCGCACTCAGAGGCGCTTCGTTTCGTTCCCAAGCTGCGGGTTGATACGCATTATCGGAACCATCGCGGCCGACGACAGCGCTTTTTCATTCGACCCTAGGTTTGAGGGCGTGATTGGGGACCGACAAATTTGGCACGGTTAACGGAGACGGGTCTGCTGACCATGTTGTGCTTATGATGGCTAGACAGGTTGTTTCGACGGATGATACATTTAGCAGATAACGACGCCATATCTATCAACTGTAATTCGATTCGGGCTACCCATTGAAAATCTGACCGGGTTTCGCTTGAGCCTGGCTTTGTCGTCATTGGGCTTTACGACCCATTCAGCTGCTAATGCTAGATGGCGTCGCCTTCCCCGTACCCTTGCTTGAACGGTGAACCCCGCTGAGAGTTGGACGTTGTACCTCTGGTTCCCCAGACGGGCTGTCCATCCCAGATGGTACCCCTGTCCACCGTTACCACAGGTGGCCTTGATGCAGCGTGCCTTCAAGTTTTACATGATTCTCAAGATGACCACAGACCGACCAAATTAACACCTGCTCTGGCTTTCTGACAATTCTTTCTCTCAGATATATGAAAAGGTTTCTCCGACTAGAGCCAATAAGACCGGAGCCGGCGGGGCCGAGGCAGTGCTTAACACCAGCCGTTAGCAGCGTTAGTCCGAAAATGAAAGAAACGCCTTACGTGCCTCTTCCGGTCCGGTATGCACAATTGTCGCTGTTTGCCCGGGTCCCCGACAAAGGGCGTGGAGTCAGAAGCGCAGGCCAGCCTAATTAAACCTCTCAAAGGCATCAGGTGTCCCGTCTCGTTGTCTTGGCGGGGTATCTGATGGTTAAACTTAAGGCATAGACGGCCCAGATGGAAAAACACTCGCCATGCGCGTCAGGACTGACCTCAGAGCCTTCCGGCCGTGCCTTAACGAAATGTTGTTTGTTTAAGATAAAATGAATATTTAGTCACACTAGTCATTAAATATATTCGTGATATAAAACGTGGGATGACAAAGAAGAGCACCCATTGCGTCGAAACATTGTGCTGGAATGGCTGCAGTGAATTTTTAGCATAGAACGCCTCTGGGCCGTCGTGACCTAGGTCTTGTGCGCCGCCTGTGACATAAGCCACGTTTGCACCGCGGGTGCGTGCCACCAGGCGACGTGACCTGTGCCTTAGTACTTAAAGGGAGTGTTCCACCCGCTTGCAGCCTACTCCGGAAGGAAGGAAGGAAGCGTCGCGAGTGTGGGCTGAAGCAGGGAAGAGTAGAAGAGGGTCGGAACGTCTCACGTTTTGTCGTATATTATACAGGAAATTGGGCAAGGGTACGAGTTATGGCGGAAATAAGACTGAGAACAGGACAGCTACGAATAGCGCCATAGCCAAGTATATGAGCGCAAGTGAATTATATGAAATAATCCAAAAATATGTAAGAACACCGCGAGAAAGGGTCAAAGCACGCGCACACAGCGATTTTTGGTTCCCGCAAACAATGCACCGATTAGCGCCACATCTCTCGACAAATTGAAGCGTTGCAAGTGAGCTATCCCGTCCGCTAGGGTGGTAAGTTCGCACGGCATGTTTGGTACCCACTTGACGTCATGCAAACGTTGACATGACGCAAACAAACGATGACAGTGCAACGATATCGAGAATTGAAATTGTGTTATATTCAGCAGTCTTTTGGACTTAAAAAAACATACCGATGGATACAAATGAGCCTATTTCATGGCATCATGTTCTTGCCTCAATCTCTTCAAATGTAGACATTCCCTTTAACTCGCCAAAAGTTTGGCGGAAACTAATTATGGCGACATGCACGCTGGAGCGACTCGGTTTTGCCCGATCCGACCGACCAGAGACACGCATTCTAACCACGCCTAGCATCGAGGTCAAGGCGAGACCCGCGGCTGAGCACCCACCACAACCTGTGACGCCAGCTCAGCCCCCGTACCGGGGTGGTCACATTCAGCGTGACCCCTCCCCCGGCAGACGGCGTGAACCTGGAGAGCAGCACCGTCCGCACAATGGCCGGCGCGCCGGCTACCCTGCCCTGTCCGGGCCTGGGCCAGACGCCGTTCGTCGTGTCGCTCAGCTGGCTGTGCGACCTCTGTGGCCCGGACGGCGCCGGCAACGGCCCGCGCACGCTGCTCGAGTACCGCGACGGTCGCGCGCAACGCGCCAGACGCCGACGAGGCTCATCCGCCGCGGCTGCAGCTGGACGAGGCCTCGTTCGCGCTGCTCATCCGTCGCGCGCGCGCCACCGACACGGGGATGTACTTCTGCCTGGTGAACAGCCGCCAACAGCCCAAGGGTGCTGTGCGGCTGGAGGTCAGAGGTGAGAGGTCACGCGCCCCGGGCGCTCCGCCGCTGGCCTATGGCGTTTGCGTGGAGGCGGCTTGTAATGGCACCTGGACCGAACAGGAGGGCATCGTGTTTCTTCCGTGAGGAGAACGATGCGTCGACGCACTGCTAATGCTTCGCCGCGCGCATTTCGTATGCTAAAAGCGAACGATGGAAGATGTGGTGTCAGACTTTCTTCCAGTGTATCGATAACGCCTGTCTTTGCGCGACTGCGTGAAACTTCTTGGGAGCAGAGTCAAATTCAAAAGAAATCAAGCTGGAAGGATCTAACAAAAACTGAAAGCTAGATGCAGTTATCAGGCCCTTGGTCGCTGTGTGTACGCTTCCACTGGTCTCCATTTATTAAGGCATGAATGTCAGACACGGATGTCAACAATCTTACTTGAAGGACAGTTCAATGACATTTGCCTAGCATTAATTGCAACTCTGAAGCCGTAACATGGCAGCTATTTCATACAAATTATGCATCAAATTTATTGGAATACGTGTGGTACCAACTTTCCTCCTGCGATGAGGAAAGCCCTGATGGTCGTTCGCGCGACTTTGTTATTTTTCAACGCAGCATGCAAGTTTTATGAGCAAAACAGAGGCTTAAACAAGATTGTACGCAAGAACAAGATTGTACGCGAACTCCAATGTGGCACGTTTTAGCGCAGATTTTTATCATCTGGTCCGTACCTGTTGGTTGATTCCAAATGTCTGATCAGTCACTGAAGCAAACTCAAAAGCAGAACGATACTCAACTATTGTTACGCGTTCATGCTCATGTTCAAGATACAGCCGGCTGGTATGGAAGAAAATGAGCAGCAGCAACAACCTGTTTGAGCCAAAATGTGTATATTTGCTGTTGACGTTCGGGATGAAACTAACATGCTTTGTTCTCTGGACATATCGTAGTAGAAAATATGAATACCCAGTTAGCTGCATCACGTCTGGCCTCTTATTGCTGCTCAAAATTATCATCGTCTCCATTCTCATAACCCTTAACACCTCCGTACTCAAAACTGTCACCATCTCCGTTCGCCTCTCTCCGGATGCAACGCCCTGAACATGACGTTATTTGCAGATGCGCCGGGGTCACCGGGCCGACCTCTGGTGCTCGCCTTCTCCTCGCGCACGGCCAACATCTCGTGGACGCACCCGCGGCGCACGAACTTCTCACCAGTGGCCCACTACGTGATCCACGTGAGGTACGAAACCCGGTCGTGACATCGGAGCCCGCCCGACACCGACCCGGTCGTGACACCGGAGCCGGCCCCGGCCGCCGCCCGCCACCCGATTGTATTTAGCCGCCAGCCGGCGGCGGTGGCTGAAATTAAAAATCGATGTCGGCGGCGCAAGGGAAGCTGGGTGGCAGGCGTGTCGCCCCCGCTGCCCGTCTCTGAGGAGGATTTCACGGCCGTTTGTCGTGACCGCCCGACGGAGCTGCATTTTGAGCGAGGGCGGTGGCGGCCGTGCCATGTGGTCTGAGTTGTGGGCCTGGTGGGGTTGTAGGTTGGCGGCGGACAGCCAGACGCAGTCTAGGGACCCTGACTCGTGGCGTAATCCGGTTGTAAACCGTCCTGTGATCTCACATCTCACATCGCGGCGTGATTTTCATGGGCTGGTCGTGGGTCCCCAACTCTGGATGAGGCCCAGTCGGTAATCAATGTCAGACGTCGGTCTCTATCGTGGTTCGGCCATGGACGGTCAACGTAGCCACCTCATGGTTAATCGCCCCACGTTTTCTGCTTCTGTCGCCGACGGCGCACAAAGCTCCTGAGTTATGAGCTTGCCGTTATTAAATGCACACACGTTCTGCTATTGATTTGATTCCCTCGTAGGTGAACCCCCACGCTGGCAGCAAGGGAGTGACTCGCACAAACAGAATTAGGTCGTTCCTCACGAAGATGGACCGCTCGCTAGCAGCGAATGCGTGGGCTTTTATTTCAATTAGCGGGTTTCCCGTCGACAGATTTATTTGCGCGATGTTAAAGCAAAATGCTCTGGCTCAGAATGCCACGTTTATTGTTTTAATATCACTTAGTTTCTGGAATCCTCATCGTGTTGCCAACTTCCATTTAATGAGAATTTCTTGTGAAGCGCATATTTTGGCTACAGCGTTTTTTGAGCAAAAACATTTTTTCATCCCACAGTGGTTATGAGACCGTTGAGATCACTTGAACACATCCATTTTTTCTTATCCTAACGAGATGGGTGACCCAAAAATGGCATTCTCTTGTCCCATTTTGCCGTTGTTCTGACACAAACGCCAAACAAAAGGATTATCCACATAAATGAAATTTCCCTTGTTATTGTCCGTGGCCTCACACACGCGAGCCTCAGGACAACAGGTCCGCCGCACCACATTTGTCTCCACCGCCCGAATTACCCCACGCCACCCCCACGCCGCTGCAGTGAATGCGGCGCGCGCCCGTCTGTCAGCGGCGAACGTGGCGCGCCGTCCGTCGTCGCCGGAATATTCATGTCGGCCATCACCCGCCGGCACTCATATCGCTGCCTTATTATATCCCTAACACTTTAATTATACGACCACTTGGCAGGGCGGCGCGAACGTTATGAAGCGGGCCTTTGGCGGCTTTTGCCGGCGCCGGCTGTGGCTTTGGTCGACGTCGGACGCGGCTCGTAGGCTCATCCTCGGCGTCACAGCGTTGCCCCAGGCGATCGCCGGGGCCGGAAATGAAGCGCCGAGGACCGAGGCGCGGGCGCGTCACCGGTGCCTCACCCGCTCCAGCCCAGCACCGGGTCGGGCGCGTCGCCGGTGCCCCACCCGGTCTAACCCAGCCAAGGGTCGGGCGTGTCGCCTGTGCCTCACCCGGTCCAGCCCAGCCCCGGCGCGGGCGCGCCGCCGGTGCCTCACCCGCTCCATCCCAGCCCCGGGTCGGGCGCGTCGCCGGTGCCTCACCCGGTCTAGCCCAGCCCTGGCGCGGGCGCGTCGCCGGTGCCTCACCCGGTCTAGCCCAGCCCCGGCGCGGGCGCGTCGCCGGTGCCTCACCCGGTCCAGCCCAGCACCGGGTCGGGCGCGAACCGCCGAGCCCCACCCGACCGCCGTCACAACGGCGCCCCATGCCTGACGTCCAGCGAGTTAGCGTGACCTGGGACGGCGGCGGTGTTGTTGGATTGGACGGGGTCGGGAGAGAGGATCGACCTGCGTCTGCCTGGCGCACGGGGACGGCCCAGTGTTACGTATGCCTGCACAGCTTGAGCCCTAATCACACATTGTGGTATGGCAGGAAGACAAAGTTGTGCGCTACTGTTCTGCATGTGTGAACTGCGCCTGATATGATGCTGGGATTCATCTCTGCTTTTGGTGCTATTTTACATGATCAAAACACGAAAAAGCGCAGTCTGCCCAAACGTTATCGTGGTTCGAACCCCACCGACCATAGTGGTGGTTACGTCCATGCCGTCATCTTCAGTCCTGTGAAGGTTTTGACGTTGACGTCATTTAAGTAGAGAGAACGATGTTCTTCTTCGTATTCGAAAGTTCAGTGAAGCCCTCAATGGCTAAATGTGACTCGACACTGTGTTCTCACTGAGCCTTCTGGCGTGTGGACGGAAGAACCTACCAATATGAGAAGATTGTCTGCATACTCTTTCGGAGTATTATGATAAAGCGGAAGTTCAAAGTTGCGTGTATATCTTCTATTGTGCTAATATGAACGCTTTACGGCCTGCGGTGCGACCACTAGGGGTACTAGTTTTGTTTGCTTGCCTTCGCCATGTCGTTGCGTATCTGTTGTGTAATTTGACTATGAGCATGCAGCTCTTTAAAACAGGCGCATGTGTGTGCTGTCCAAACGGTTTTTCCTGGGTAACTAACCGATTTGCAAGTGCGTACGGGCCATCAGCATAATGCAAACAAAACCGAGAATGAGTCAGAGATCGTCATTACAGCCATCGTACCCATCAGGCTGTTGTAGGCCGCCCGATAACTCGGCGGCGAGACCGCAGGGCCGGCTCGATCACGCAACAACATAGTGAATCGGTTGCCCACAACCCGAGCGTCACTCGTCATGTGCCCCCCCCCCCCCCTTCCCCTGCCGCCCTCCTACACCCGCATCCAATCCCGTCCAGGCTGCTTCACCCGCAGCAGCGGCCGGCAAAGACAGATTGAACCCGAGCGAGCATTCTTCGGCCGAGTTGGTCTCCGTGTCCCGCGCCCGTCGGCTGATTACCGTACTGATGAGCGCTGTTTGCATGGTCGTGGCAGGGAGACGGAGCGAGGACCTTGGGACCGCTCGCTGCGCACCGTCGGTAACGGCACCCGCTACCAGGTGACCGAGCTGCGGCCTTACACCGTCTACAGCTTCCGGGTGACGGCCGTGAACGCGGTGGGCGCCGGCCCGCCCGGCCAGCCGTCTTTCCCCGTGCAGACGCTGAGAGAAGGTCAGTAGCCTGCAGCGGCCGTCGCAGGGGCGTGGGCAGGAGGTGTGGCTCTGGGATTGCTCGTTCGATGTGTGAGTGGCGTCAGAGCACGCCCTGGCGTCCGCTCTGGTACCGCGCATGTGAGTGGCCCCCGGAGACACCTGGTGAGCAGCTGTGACAGTCGGCACAGTCGGCATGCTAACGTTTTATGCGGTGAATATATAACTGGTCGTATTTTATATGGTGAACTTCATGCGTGTCTGGGTCTAGTTTCATCTAGTGGAACTACGAATTTGCGCACTTTAAATTGCGTCTTAGAAGTATAAGAGCTTAAGAATGTGCTTAGTTTTACAATTCTTAAAGAGAACGTTCCACATTTGTATGAGGTTTTGAAATGAAATAACCATGTCGATTATTATTCGGTGCAGTCCACAGCCCTGTCTTTCTTACAACCTAAAAATATCTAGTTTCTGAGCTACATGCCCACCAAGATGTGCGGGCTTTTTGCGCAGCTTTTCACCCGATATCTATGACGCCATAATAACGTCATTCAATTTCTGTCATTCACTATCCATGCGGCGTTCAAGGTCAAGCAAAAATATAACCTCCGAGTCGTTCATATCTGGCGTTCGTGAGCACGATTTCCAGCTATAACGGTCGTCAATTGGCGGACACCATCGTTGGACGTCCTGCGTGAAACGGAGCGCCCAGGGCCCTGGGGCGTGCCACTCCCAGTCGCACATTACTCACGGTGGTGGTTACGGTCGGCCAACCTGCGCCGCCCAGCGCGCTTCAAACGAGCGGGCGATACTTGCTCGATACTGCGGCCCCGCACGTCGGGGCCGGAGTGTAATTTACGTTAACTGCGAGCACGCCAATGCCGTGCAAGGTACACAACCCACCGTTAAGTGAAGGACAAATTTGCGTCGAACAGGCACACTCAGACGATGTGCATTTGCTGTTGTTTTAGGACACTGGCTCGAGGTTTTCTAGTCTCTGGGTGTGTCTCGAGGTTTCTATCTCCAGGTGCGACTCGGGGTCTCTATCCCTGGGTGTGGCTCGGGGTTTCTATCTCCGGGTTCGGCGTTTATGATGGCATGCCTTTATCTATATTTGCCACGTCATGGATCGTTTTGAGAGCTCCGTGAACAAAAAGGAGCTCTGGCGAATCCCGAGCTGAAATATAATAACAGAGCATGGCCGTATCGTCTTGAAAGCGGTTGTTGATGTTAATGAGCAAGCGTGAATTCGGAAAGAATGATATGACCCCATGGTGAGAAAAACAAGTTAAGCGTAAGGAGAAGCTGTTGTACGTGCAAAGAGAATGTGTAACACGTGGTGTGAAGGGCTTGTTTAACAATGCACTGAAGTCCACATGCTTTGTGTATATGTATATGCTCAGGATCCGTGACTTCACAATGCGGGCTTTGGTACATTGCCATCTTCCTTTCTATTGTTGTATTCGTGGCTAACCTGCTAAGCTTGCAATTTCTTGCGAAAATGCAATTGTGTGAAATATTGCAAAATATTTCGGTATGCACTGTGCTTGTGGGTAACGCGTGACATGAGCATATTAACAACATGTGGCGTGGACGATCTGATTTTACTTTGTAAAAATTGTAGTGTCGCACAATGCCTTCGATGTATACTTTTAAACGTAGACGTAAAAATAGACGTAGAAAAATGGCATACGGTTGGCCCATGTACAGTGAACTCATGACCTTACCTTCCATCGTCAAGAAATAAATCGTCATGTCGCGGGGTGTCAAAGGAGATGCACACATGGAAATCCACACCCACCCACACCCACCACAACATCCTAATCAAGTGTCTGAGGTCTCACTCAGTAGGCACCGTTTCAATGTTAACTGAAAGACGACACAAGGAAGTCGATGAAGTCAGCGCCTGCTTTGTGTACTGGGCACTCGCTGCCAGCAAAACTTTTGGTATTTATATTTTGACAAGGATTTCCTAGTGTATTCAAGACTGGCGTATGTCCGGGTCTTCACTTGGTTGTGCAGTCAAAATATGGTAATTTCCGAGAGAAGATGCCAACACATGTAGGGAGATGATCTCGCATTAATGAGGCGCATATACGCAGCATCAGAGGTGGTAGTTCTCTCCTGATTCTCTCGATGGTAGTTCTCTCGTGCTTACCCGGCGCCTGTTATATGCTTACACGCATGGCCCACCCTCCGTTTATATATGAGTCATACTGAGCATGCCATCACGAAGGGCGTTTCAATGGTCATGCAGTTCTCATATATTGTGGTCATGCGTCAATTAATTGCCATAATGTAAACAGTGAGATGGGTGTGCAATATAGGTTTTAATAACTTAGCATGCACCGTCGCTGAGTCCGCAGTTTATGTCCTTAAACAACGACGGAAAGCGGGCATGGCGGACAATTTCCGACGCCGCGAACTTGTTGCAGTAAATACCGAGGGACGTTATGAAGGATGTCTCAATGGTGGTTACGTTAATCGATTGCAAATGGAGGCAATTTACTCCGCGTGAGCCTTGCTGTGAAGCAGCAGGCAATTACGTCTTCATCTTTTCTCCTTGATCTTTGCTCCTGGCTTAGTTAAAGTCCCCTACTTGTTCCTCGCAGAATTGATCAACTATTTCCTGATCTTTATTTCTTTGTCATTATTTTGCCGGTTTTCTCATGTCCAACGTGAGTTTTTGTCCGCAAAATCTTATCAGTGCCTAGGTAACGTCACTGGAAATGCACTGGTGGCTTCAGCAACACGGAGGAGCGCCGTGGTGTGCGTTCACTAACAGGCGCCCCCCCCCCCATTTTTGTGCTAAATGGGATATTTATGTTGATTAAAGTTGTTTTAAAGGCACCCAGAATGGTTTGCTGACTGACCAATGTTGTGGTCGATTTACAAAATGTCTCACCGCACACCGGCAGATGGCAGACGGGCGAGATGATTCCAGATATTCCCATTCGCGACTGCGGTGCCCGCGGCCCGTCAGAGGGTTCTCCTGTGGCTGAAGATGTCGCTGATGACAGCAGACGTATGTGCGTTGATGAGGGCATGTGTCGTCGGCCCGCGCCGTCCGCTGGGTATCCACGAGACACCGGCAAAGCTCTGCTGACTCTAGGTCACAACTCATCACGCGCTAGTGATCCCTGGTCGCCCTCCCCCTCCTCCTTTCCTTCTCCCGCTGTAATCTTGGCGACTGGCGGGAAAGCGGTAAATGATTCTAGTTTTATATTCCCTTTATACAAATGGATGAGGTTTGCACGATATTATCCGTTTGGCTCAAAATACATGACACCTAGGCGGTAGACCTGCTGGACTGATGTTTTGTCACCATTTCGGATCTGTGAACCCTCGTATTTGACACGGGTTATCAAGCACCGGCCGTACGTGACTTTTCCAAGCACGATTCCTTGTTTTTTAGTGTTGCGCCTGGCACGTGCGCTTCAGAGATAATGCCCACAGATGATTGGTGTTGCTGAGGTGAGCAGCATTTTGCAAATTTTCATTGCAAGCATTCTTTGCAATAGACATGTATCAAAGTCCAAAAAAGATCTCGGCTTAGATCTCTGAGCCGTGGATCCGGAATCTCTTAGGATTTTGGATCTTTTTGAAGAAATTATTTCGAAGAATCATTGAGATGCTAGATTTTTTAAGGTTGGTACAGGATTATCTGGGATCCGAGATATTTTTGAAATTTTACCGAAGAATCTTCTGAGACCCTGGATCTTTGATAAGCTGGCTGAAGATCTTATGGGACCTTACCTTTTAATGGTTTCCCTGGATGATCTCCCGAGATTTGAGAGTTAACTTTAGGTTTTGTCAAAAAATCTTCTAGGACCCGATTGCGCAGCCCTGTGAAATGTTTTAGATAGGTGTAATAGTCAGATTAACTTGGCTGGGTTGTTTTTTCTTCATTTGATCCCAAAATTGAAGCATTGCTAGTTAAAATGATGACGATATCAATCTTTCCCTCTAATAAACATCCATAGCCTTATTGGCAATTAAGTCTTATCTCATGAATACTTGGTGTTTCATGAGTTCTTATCTGTGCAACATTAACGCTCAGCATAGTGTGATAGAACTAGCTGTATGACATGCATCCTTTGTTTAGTGATCCATTAACCCTCTCCTGATAGAGGGAGGGATGGTCAAGATACGCCCTCCCTTTGCTCCTCTTTAAACTTTTTCGAGTATGCCCCCCAGGCATGTCTAGTAATCGCAATCAAAATTTCAATAGCCTGTGGAGGGAATCCATTACGCGTGTTGTGACACATGAAACGCGTCCCTAGCGTTTCTACTTTCGGAGAAGCGACGGTTTTTGCGGAAACCCTGCACGGCGACCTACGACCGGCGCGGGCGGCGGCTGGTAACCATCGATGTCGCGGACCGCGCGCGGGGGGCTCGACTTTATTATTAAAACATATACTATCGGGCCACATATCATGCATGCATGCCCAGATGCATGGAAACTAAATGTCCCTGTACTTACTTAGAAGTAAACAATGATCCCGCCTGTGTGAGTTTCGCTCCTTCTCGAGGCATAATCTGTACATATGAGCGCCGTAAAGCTGAAAAAGTGTGATTTACAGGAAAATTTGGCATTTGACCTGGAATGTTGGGCCATTTAGTGACCCAGCAACACGCAACTTGGTACCAATCGTGAGACCACGTTAAGACTAATCGATTGCCGTTTTCCGCTGGACTATATCTATATTAGCTTGCAAACGTCAGGCAGGTCGCATCGACCATCCCCACCCACCTATCCCCCCCCCCGCCCCCGTCAGGCCACGTTATAAAAAAGGGCGAATCAGGGCGCGAGTTTATGCGCAGCAAAGCAAGCTGGATGCTGCCTCTCCGTCCCTTCCTTTCTTGACCTTACTGCTCTAAGACAGGTATAATAACAGTGGCAAATTGTCCCTAATCCTCATAGGAGGAAGTCATGAAAGGGTGTTGGGAGGAACACCATTGCCAAAACCGATTATGTCACTTTACCTTTACGGCTCATACATTTGGAA